AAAAAAAATCATGCTGAGAAAACTGCATATCCACATGTAAAAGAATGAAATTGGACCTTTACCTACCAATACCACATAAATAATTTAACACAAATGAAAAACCTAAGTTTTAAGAATTAAAACTATAAATCTCTTAAAATATGGGGTAAAGAGTTACGACTGAATATGGCAATAATTTCTTGGATATGATACTAAAAGAAAGGCAAGAAAAGAAAAAGACAAACCAAGCTCACAAATTTAAAAATGTACATTAAAAGATACTCATCAGCAGTTAAAAGGTAATCCCAGAATAAGAGAAAATACCTGCAAACCATATAGCCAATAAGAGATTCATATCTATTACATATAATGAACTCCTAAAACTCAACAACAAAAACATTTAAAAATGAGCAAAGGATTTGAACAGACATTTCTCCAAGTACATGCTAGTAAGTGCATACAAAGATGCTCAAAGTCACTAATTGTCGGAGAAGTTACAAATCAAGATTACAGGGAGATCACACCTCATACTATTAGGATGGTTAAGATTAAAATAATTTTAAAAAATAGCAAGTGTTCGTGAGGACATAGAGAAATTAGAACACTTGTGTACTATTGGTAGGAATATAAAATAGTACAATCATCCTAGAAAACATACGTCTGTTCCTTAAAAAATTAAAAATAAAATTACCACATAATCCAGCAACTCCACTTCTGGGTATACATCCAAAATAACAGAAAGCAAAGTCTGGAAAAGATGTTTGTATACCTATGTTCATGGCAGCATTACTCACAATAGTTAAAATGTGGTATGACCCCCATGAATAAATGAGTGGGTAAGTTGCATATGAGATATACATACAATAGAACATTATTCAGCCTTAAAAAGGAAATTGTAAAGCATGCTACAAAATAGATGAACACAGAGGTTATCATGCTAAGTAAATGCCACTAAAGACAAATATTTCATGATTCCACTCAAATGAAGTACTCGGAGTACTCAACATCATACAGACAGAGTGGTGATTGCCAAGGGTTGAGATGATAAAGGAATGCAGAGTCACTGTTTAGTGGCTACAGAGTTTCAGTTGTGCAAGATGAAAAGAGCTTCAGAGATGGACACTGGTGATGGCTACACAACATTAGAACTACATCCAGTACCAGTGAATTATATATTTTTAAATGGTTCAGATGGTAAAATTTTATATGTATTTCAGCACAATAAAAATGAACAAAATTAAATGAAATCACAACAAAATTACCAACAAATTAATTTATGAAGCTAGACATTGATATTCAAGACTATATGAAAAACAAACACAAAAATAACTCAGAACACACAAAAAGACAAAGGAACTACAAGAGTGGGGTAGCCTATCTGGGCATTAAAATATACCATAAAGGCTCTATTCTTACAATATTGTAGCAGTGCAGCATGAACAGACAACCATACAAGTGAAATATAAAGTCCAGAAATATATCCAAGTTATATATAAATTAAAAATATAATAAAGCATCATCATGAATCACTGGGATAAATAAAATTAGTTTGTAATAAAAGTGTGGTTAGCCATTTAGAAAAAGTAAAATGAAATCCATATCTCACAGCCCACAGAAATAGCCATTCTAAATAGATCAAAGATCTAAATATAAAAAAATGAAGCCATACAAGCATATAAAACATGGTTCCTCTTTAACTTCAGTGCAAGGAGACTACAACTTAAAATCCAGATGCAATAAGGATTAATAATTTTGATTATAAAATAAAATGTTGTGTAATAACAAATATCATATAAGAAATCAAAGGGAGAAAATATTTGTAGTATATTTCCAATATACAAAGATCTCTTTAAAAGCAAGGGGAAAAAGACAAAAGAAATCACCAAACAGCAGAGAATGACATCGATGAACCACACACACAAGGGATAAAAATGGCCTTAAACATAGGAAATGTTATTCAATCTCATTTATAATAGAAATGCAAATTAAACTATGCCGAGATAGAAAGTGAAACAATATTCTTGGAAATAAATTTGATAATATCTAATAAAACTATATATAAATTTACCTTTTGACCAACTTATTTACTTCAGGAATTTACCGTTAAGATATACCTCCAACAATATGAAAATAGATACTGATTGCAGCTTTGGTTGTAATCACAAAACACAGTATAGGAAACTAAAAATATAGAAGAGTGGGTAAACACTGGTGCATATAAACACTGGAGTGCTAGCAGATGTAAAAAGAATGAGTTTAATCTCTACGAACTACTTGGTATTATACTTAAAGCAACTTCAATGACAGTGCTAAGAAAGGGAGACAAAATATATATGCATCTGTCAACTCTGGGTGGGGGAGGGGACAGGAAAGATAAATAAGAAACTAATTAGATTACCCACCAGGGGTCAGATATTTAAGAAACTATGAGCACAGGAGTAGGATCAAATAGATGCAGGAAGTAGTGTCGTTCTGTATAGTTTTTGTATCATTCTGTCCTTTAGAACCATCGTGATGTTTCACATAGTGAAATATGCTAAAATAAATAAGGACGGGCTCGGGACTCAAAATGGGATAAAACAGAAATAAGCGAAGCTATTTTATAAGTGAATAACATAACCAAAGTGAAGTCAGAAAATCCCTGAGTAATTCTGAAAACTCTTAAGTAACTTTTAGATTGGATTTGAATTCACTATGTATATTTTGATGAACTCAGGGGCTAAAGACAGAAAGAATATACAGGTATTACACACTAGCTAAGAAGTTTTTCACAGAGTTGTGAATTAGCACAACTATTTTAGGCATATTCTAGGACTAAGAAAATAAATAAAAAGTCAGGGTTCTCACTGGCAAAGGAGGTACAAATATAAAGAGTATACTTAAATGAACCCCATGGTGGTGGATTGGAAATAGAACTATCACTGTAAATGTATAACTATTAACATATATACATACAGAAAAATAAAGAATAGATTCAAATCTGTGTTGATGTACACGTAAATATATTTCCTTCCTCAATTCACTGAGAAGACCTAGAAGCAATGTCTTTCTAGTACTCCTATAGTTGAGATTCTGTTTTCCTGTATGATTTTCCAATAAAAAGGAACCAAAGCACCTTAGAGAAATGACTAATTAAAGGGAGGCCAAGAACATCCTGTGATGCCAGCAAATAAAGAGAATCACAAAAAATGGCGGGACTGTGTCAACTTGGAAGAGCTTCCAGTGGCCAAATCTGCAACTTCACTAGCAAATTATACTATAGTAAAACTCTGGATTGCAAGTAACTTATTCTGTGAGTATTCCACAAGAAGAGCAAACATGTTAACGAATTTTAACTTGATAAATGAGCAATGTCTTGCAGTATGAGTAGTATGCGATGCTAAAGACTGCATGATCATAATTGAGTCAATGGTTCCTTCCTCTTCCTTCTCCCCTCTCGCTCTCCTCTTCCCTCCCTCCCTCGAGGAGATCTCATCTGTAGAGGAGCAGAAAAGGGCAGAGGAATCTCTCACTTCAAATGAGATTAGCGAGATGTGTAAAATGTAGGAAACAGTGCAAAATTTTGTAGAAAAGCATCACCTGAATAAGGCTGTAGAGAAGTTTGAGTGACGAATCTGTTTAACCACAATGCAATGTCACATTTCTGCAAAATCCTCAAAAGGAGGCAAAAGCGGTGTCATTGGGTAGGTTTCTTGTTAAAGTTGCACAAAAAGAAAGATTCCATTGAGCCGACAGATAGCAGTGATTCCATTAGTGATAGTGAAAGTCATCCTACACGATAACCCTCCTCTCTCTTGTTTCCCTCACACCAGCCACGAAGGTTTTCAAAGGTAAGTGCAGGTTGATTTATTTTTCTTGATTACTTTATATTATATTACAGTACTGTAACCATTTTTTTTTTTCTGATACTGGGGATCGAACTCAGGACCTTGCACTTGCAAAGCAGGTGCAGTGCCACTGAGCTAAATCCCCGGCTCTGTAATCATTTTTATATGAATATTTTTGGGTTATGGAACGAATCATCTGAGTTTCTATTATTTCTTATGGGGAAATTTGCTTTGATATACAAGTGCCTTGAATTACAGCATGTTTCCAGCATGAATTATGCTCATAAATCAAGGTTTTACTATATTATAATCTATAGAGGAAAACAAGAATCTGTTAGTCCATATATGTAGAAATATAATATTTAGAGGAGAAATTAAAGCTCTTCCTTTCAGAATTCCAACTAATAAATGTAGAGCAAAATGATAAAAATAAATAAGAAAATCACTATTTGGCAAGCACTATAGAGGAACAATTGTTTTAGGAAAGAATCATCAATGGATGCTAAAAATTTAGTGGCAAAATATCTGGTGAGAAAGTATGATGAAAACACTTATATGGTCTCAAAGTATAATATGGGGAACCTTAAAATAGATTAAATATTAGAAAAGAAAAAATAGTAATTTTATACTGGACAAGTCTGGTAACAACATTTTAACCAAGTGAGCAGGTTAACATCATGGGGAAAATCATGAACTTCCTGATATGAAGCATTGAGGATACATGACTTCGCTGTTACTTCTGCTAAAAATACATAACATGAATTTATTTATGAGGAATATATTATAAGCCCAACCTGAGAAATATTTTACAGAATCTACTCAGATTTTTTTCAAAATGTTAATATGTCCAGATTAAAGGAAACTATGTAAATGTGATGGGTAAACTGGATCTTGTAGCAGAGAAAGGATAAGTGGAACAACTGGTAAAATTTGAATAAAGTTAATAAGTTGGAAAATAGTAATGTTTACTTGATTATATTAATTCCTGAGACTTGATTATTATAATATCAAATGTTGTACTTGGGGAATCATGTTAGCTGTTAATACTTGGGGAATCAAAGTGAAGGGTAAATGAGGATTCTCTAGACTACTTTCACACCATTTTTGTTACTTTGAAACTATTTCAAAATCAAAAAAATCAATCTATATAGATAACCTAATACTCTGAAGTTCCCTTCTGGCCGACTCCTCTGCCATCTGTGCAGCCTGCAATTTCTCTTCATGCTGATCCTTTTCAGATTGTCTCCAAACATCATACTCCACTTTCATCTTCTCTAAATCGGCTAATCTGTTTTCAAGTTCCAGCCTAAAACAACAGATGATAAGTACATTACAAGAATGACAATAAAGATATGCCAGTAAAATGTTTTCATGTGCAAAGAGATATAACACAAACTAAGGTAATAAAGTACTCACTTTTTATCTTGTAATACCACAAGCTTTTGATAACCTTCTTCCTTGGCAGCTTGTACTTTACATATTAACTCACGATCTTTTTCTATTAAGAGCATTTTCTGCCGTTCAACAGCTGATTTGAGAATTTCATTGTCTGATTGTAACCCTAGAATTTTTTTAAGGAAAAAAAATGTGCTAAATTCAATATTTTTAAGAAGAAAAAAATCACAACAGCAAGCATTCATCAGTAGATGAGATGAAACAATTCAGAAACTCTCTGGGTATGTAATCTCAAAGATCCTTAACTCAGTAATGAACTACTTAAAATAAGGATGAAACACACTAAATCTCAGAGTTAATTTCTCTGTCATGACTTTATTTAGCACATAATACACAGAAACTTTTTAAAGGTTAATACATTTATTCATTTCCATCTTGAGAGCAAGAAAGGTCAACCTGGATAACACTCAAAGAGGCTGACTCACTTCTCCTCTTCAGGGTTCTGTGAGCCAAGCCCCGGAGCATAACAAAACTGGCTGGTAACAGATAAATAAAGTCACCAAACACTTCAAAACCTATATGGAGAAATACAGTAACAAGGAAACTTCTAAATGTATCAAATGAATTCTCAAATCTTCCTTGTGATGAGATGACAAGTACTTTGCAGCTGGGATAAATAAAGCAAATTCATATTTAACTCAAAGTAGCACTAGATACGAAAGTCTCTAAGAAACTTTACTCCCTAACTCTATGGAAATCTATCAATATTAAATAAAAATTAACAAAAACAATCATTCAACATAAACTCCTCAACTACAGAGGCCAGCTAAACTACAGATCAACTCACCACAGTTACAGCCTTCAAACAGCTTAAGTAACTTAAAAAGTTAGAAGCAATATAAGTTCTGAGAAATCTTGACGAGACATTCTCAGACTAAAAAGGAACTTAAAAATAAGCCTATACTGAAGTGTGCTCCAATAGTAGGGTTTACGTTTAAAACATCCTACATTTAGAATGTCCTAGACTAGTAACCACATGATTTAAATAGACTTAAGATTATAAACTCAGGAAGGATGGAATCCCATTTTCAAAGTTCCACTTAATTACTTATCAAATAACTATTTGATAAGCATGGGGTTGATTTTCTTAAAAGATCACAGAATGAACAAAGCTTGAACACATAAACAAAAATATTCCATATGTACTCAAAGATTAAAATTCAATTTAAGCTAAGAATCTGGAAATAAACATCCAAGTGGATGTATTTTAATAGTGAGTTTCTATCTTAAAATAATAGTAAAAAGCAAGGGAAATCATATATTACCATTCAGTTCACTTTGAATCTTATTTCTTTCTCTTTCTAGCTCACTCTTAGCTCTTGCTGCCTCCAGTTTGACGTCTGTTATTTCTAGATTGCTTGAGTGTTTAAGATCTTTTACCTGTTAATAATTAGAAATTGAAATTACTTTCAGTCATTTTCTTGCCATTCAGTATTTACTCAAAAGAGAAACTGAGAAAGTATTTTGTCACAAGGAGACACCAAGAAAACACTGTCTTTTTCCAAATAGAACTGAGATTTTCTTTACACTTTCTGGGTGGGGACACCTGGACATAATCATATCTCAAAAGGCTTAACTAAAGTCCCTAAAATACAGTGGTCCACAATTAGAACATCTTCAGAGGAAGAAAGCTGAACCCTCCCTTATAAAAAAAAGTGCTAGGAACAAAGAATGCATTCTAGATAGAAGGAACAGCATATAAAATGTTAAACAGGTGTAATATTGCAGGGTCGGCTCTGAAAACAGTGAGCTATGCCTTACAGGTAGAGCAGAGGAAGGCATGAAATCTATGTAGGAATGGCAGGGAGAAAACTTTTACACCAATCAAAACCATGGTTTGTCCTGTTAGCTACTGAAAAATAGCATAATTAACTTGGTTCAGAATGATAACTCTAATTACAGATCTGCTGGATTAAGAAGCTGAAGGTGAAGAAATCAATTAAGACACAGGAATTAAGGAAGCAGGCAAGAATCAACAGAATGTGGTGATTTCGTATGCACATGTATGTGCATACCTGGGTATGCATGTGCGATGTGAGATAGGAGCAGCAAGAACAAGTATCATATAGATTTACAGACTTCATACAAATGTTTAAATCATATAAATCTAATAATCCTTTATGACCAAAATCTAATTCTTTTATTTTACATATATTTTTTAATTTAAAAAACTTTTTATTAGTGCTGTATATGTTTGCAAGTACATAATGATTACATTCATGGTGGGGAACTGGTACATGTACATAATACATCCTAATTCTTTTTTCATCCTCTTCCTCTCTCATCCCTGTATTTTTTGGCCCCTTTCCTTTAAGTAAATGTAAATAATTTTCAACACTTTCTATACAGTTAACCTATCTACATCATTTTTCAGCCTTCACCTAAATATTCGAATAATTCTAGTTCATAAGTAGTATCCCTTCATTCAACTAATATTTATTGACCAACTATTACGTACCAGGTACTATTTTACGATCTGGGGATACAGCAGCAAATAAGAAAGCTTTGTCTCTCCAATCATCTGCTGAGACCAAAGCGACTCCATTTTGCTAAAATCCACTATTCCCCTAGTCTCTATTGTCCTCACAAATTAATGGTTAAAATGTGCTTGCCCTGGGACAAAAGACACAAACTGTAATGAAGCAAAGTTCCTAAGTTAATTACTCAACCATCTGTTTGCCCAGGAAATGAACGTTCCGGGTCCACTATCTATAGAACAATCTGTCAGTGTGCTGACCATCAGTACGTGACAGTCGACCACTAACCTTTGTCCCTCTTTCCCCCCATAAAGCCTACATGTAACCGCCCCTCAAACCCCCGATGGGCCTAGCCAATCAGAAATATACACTTCATGCTTGCAAAATGCCAACCAATCATGCAACTGCTAAGTGAAAAATCTCCAAACCTTGCTGTAACCACAATAAAAACCCCGCTAATTTGAAATTCGGGGCTCTCAATTCTGATCCGCTGCGTCGGTGACGGTTGGGAGCCCCTGCTCGAGCTTGAATAAACGGCCCTCGTGTGCTTACATCGGAATCGGCTTCCTGGTGGTCTTTGGGACTTCGCGATCTGGGCATAACACTGCATAACTAACATTTTCTTTGGTTAGGTATTTCTAAAATTACGAATGCTGATTCAAGGATTTAACTAATACAGATACAAAGGATAGATAAAGCTGTGTTCTGACACATTATGTGTTCCAGGTGTAAAACTACAGAATCTCTGGTAGGCTGAGGCAGGACGCTCATAAATTCAACCCCAGCCTGAGCAACTCAGCAACTTTGGAAAAACTCTGTCTCAAAATTTCAAAACATAAAATTAAATAAAGGGCCTGGGCACATAGATCAGTTCAGAGACTCTGGGTTCAATTCCCTGTGCCTTCCCGGAAAAATAACCACATGCATATACCTGTGATATCAGAGCAGAAAATTCCAAATATATACAAGTCAAATATATAAATCTGAGATGGTAGGAAAAGGAGCATAAAGATTAATTTACTCAGAGTCCTACGACAACCATAGTGGGAGATACAAACCAAGAAAAGGTCCTAGAGCCAATAGGGACAAGGATAAGAAACAGAGATGTCCTATTGTAAGAAACACCATCTACAAAAGGTCCTGAAGATATGTAAAGAATGGCTGAAGGCAAAATGCATACCTAAAGAAAACAAACAAAAAGCAAGTATTGTAATGCCTTTATATCACTAATCACAATTAACACATTCCTGCAAATTAACTACACTTTTTAATGACACTACATAAAATGGCTACCTTTGCATTTTAAAATCTCCTTTTCTGAAGTTCTTTTCTATAACAGTAAGTCTCATAACTATAAGAAATTTTAATTTTTAATTTCTAAACTTTCTATAGATTTGATTGTATTACATTTTAATTTTCATGGTCAATTTAAATTGTAAATGCTTTATATTTTTGAAAAAATATAGCTACAATTAAAATAATCAGTATGACAAATGTAATTTAGTGGTGTACACCCAAGCAAGTTACTTGTCCTTTCTGTACTCAAATTTTACACACTTGTGGACCTAAGTTTTTCTCTAGTGCCATATTTTAACAACCCTAAAATAATGAATGTACTAACAGTAATTGTTAACTTCCTAAAATGTGTACTAGAAGGAAATATATTATTTTTTTAAATAGCATGAAACCTTATTCTATTTGTCAGTAATAACAAATAGTAGTGCTTTTTCTATAAATAATCTGAACCATATCCCAAATAGCAATAATAAAGTTTCTTTTTGGTTCCAGATATCTAAGTTCTTTATCTTGTCTATGATCAGGCCCTCAAAAATCCTAGGAAAACTAGGAACCTTTTCTTAAATAAAATGCATAAAGTTAAAATGTTGCATAAAATTTCAAGAGCTCCATGGACTCCTGAAGCTCCTCTGGGTCAAGCCACCCTGTTTTTCAAAAAATGTTTGTCATGTGGAGCCTGATCTTCACACTGTGAATTTGCTTTATGTTTCTGACACAATAAGGCAAATATTCCGTTATTACTATAGTAATAATTTAATAAATGTCAAAAATGACAATCTTAGCATTTTAGAGGGGTTTAAAAATCTGTTAAAGTATACATACCTACAGAAAAATATACAAAAAAATAATGTATATAAAATGGAAATATAGCTGAAAAATATATTACCCAAGAAGCTCTGGCTGCAAACTCCACAAAGAGATGGCAATTAAATTCTGATCTCTTTCAAAGTTCTGAAGTAGTATGACTTCTTTTACTTAACTAGTAAGTAAAATACTATGGAATGGCTTTCTTAAAACAATCTTATTGGACTTCTAAAGATCAAAACTTCATGAGGTAACTCAAAAAATTTACCTCCCTGAATATGAAATATCTTTAAGGTCATCATTTTCAGGCCATCTATACCAAAACCTTTCAATCTAAGACACTGATACTGACATAACTTTCTTCTAAAACCTAAGGAACATTTACAAATTTGAATAATTTAGACAAACACACCCCAGGTGTTCCTTTGCATTCCAAACAGCCATTTGCTTAGAAGCACAAAATGTTGATGAAAATTTCAAATTGCAAAGAAAACTGTGACAGTCGTGTTTGAAATATTATTTTAAAATTTATCCTTTCATGGAATTTTTCTACATATAAAATTTGCATTGAAACTTGCTTTGTCTAAAGTTGAAGGATGTATTTAATACTCCATTTATATGCAAACTCATGCAAGTGTGCCTTTAAAAAGATGGGCAATTCTTAGCAAAGTGTTAATAAACGAGCACAGAAAAATAAGTAATGCTATACTAAACTGCTAAACTGCAGAGCAGTAGAAATCATCTATCCTCTAAAAGGGAAAAGAGCAATAGAGAAGGGTATCAGTACAGCATAAAGAAGAGGAAAAAAGGTCTGCACACAGGGAAGCCAGAAAGTGCAGAAAAAATTTGCCATGGGAAAAGTGACCCTAAAGAGAGAAGTCACCAAACTTGTCCAGCATATCCAATCCAGCTGTTCCAGTAGTTCAGTCTGCCTATGCAGGTCCAGAATAGCGTGCTACCAACACTGGGGAGTCAGTATTATTTTACAAAGCTGAAAGTAATTTGTACAGGAATTGAAAGAAAAATGAGAGAACTCTCTCTACTCTGAATTTACTTCTGTGTGATTTACATCTATTTTTTGTTTACTCTATTACTGTAGACATTCAAAAATGTATCTCTTGAATGTATAGTCTACTTATGCTTAATCAGAAAGCAAATTATTTACTTATTTTCTAGTAAGATTTACACAATCCTAGTAGGCTGGAAGAATTCTTAGGGATCAGCAAAACAAAGTTTCATTTCACCTATGAGAAAACTGGATCCCAAGTACATGAATGGGTTCCTAAGGATATTAAGTAACTTGCCCAAGGTGACACACAGTTATTGATAGAGAATAGAACCAATCAACAGGCTCAAAATTCTGTGTCATGTCATTTTCTTACTTAAGGATATCAGCCGTATATAATCATTGCCAATATTTTATTCACCACACCTTATTGTGTTAAATAGTACCTTTAATTTTTACAACTATAAGAAATAAGTATTATTATCTGCATTTAAAAGTTCAGCAAGGGTTGGAGATGTAGCTCAGCGCTACAGCCTACCATGCACAAGAGTCTGGGTTCCATTATCTCCAGAACTGCAAAACTCAGTTAAGCAAAACAGAAATCACAATAGCAGTATGTGAAATGCGCAAGTCAGGGTTCAAAAATACATATATTTATTTGATTCAAAACCATCAACTTTTCAACTGTGCCTTATTACCTGATCCAAAATGATAGCTTGTAATTTCTAAATATATCTGAATTTCAAACTAAAAAACTATACCTGAAGTTAAAATATTTTAACAACTTGGGCTGGAGATATATATAGCACAATTTGCAGAGTGTTTGTTTAGAATACACAAGGTCCTGGGTTAGATCCCCACCACTACAAAAAATAAAAATAAAAACATTTTAACATCTAAAAATCATGATGGCCTAATTTTCATTTTTCTTCTCAGTGTCAGTCATGTCTACTGAATTAAATGAAACACTGGCAAAAGAAAACCACAGCCACTTTGTAAAGTACAGAAATTCAAACAAAAACTTAAGAGTCATTAGACACATGTGTTTGCAATGGGAAAAACTAGATGGATCACCTCCCAAGGTTGGCATCCAATACATCTAAAATCCAATTCTGTCATCACTCTTAAAAAAGGCTCATGAAGTTAGACTTACATCAATAAAGTGTATTAAGAGCAATTTACAAAATCAGAATGACAATTTAATTATAAGAAAAAACAATATAACTAGAAAATTTCAGTCTGCAAGACTACTACATTTTCTCTCTGTAGACAAAATTACATGGGAAGTCAAGTAACAGAAGCTTGCTTGGTGATTAGAACAATGACAATAAGATGAATGGATGACTTCATGGCCATTCAGGTTAACAGGTTAAAAGACATTGGTTTAGGGCCGGGGATTTAGCTCAGTGGTTTCACCACCTGCTGCGCAAGTGCAAGGAACTGAGTTCCATCCCTGGTACCAAAAAAAAAAAGACATTGGTTTATTCATCTCCCCAACAAGAATAGTATTTTCAGTGGGATCAAAATACCAGCAGAATAGTTCTGCTGATTAAATTTCCTTCTCCTCTCAGTCACATATACAGCTCCTAAGTCTTCTCAAGAAATTCCTTGCCAAAGGAATTGATAGTGACTATTTTATTACTTTAGTGAAATTTATATATTTCTATCAGAATACAGTGACTGTCTTTGGTCTAGGAGCCATCTTGTTTTTTAAGGTTATTTTTACATTACCTTGATAAAAAACACAATGACTTCTCTGACTCAGAAGCCAATCTTATTTCCAAGTTCTTAGTAATGCCCTAAGACCTACTAATAGTAGAGTTAATATTTTAGTGATTATTTGTTAGATCTTAACACTAAGTGTTTTATATCTCATTTAATTTTTGCCACAACTCTTTATGGTAGATATTAGTTTCATGATACAGGGGAAGACATTAAAGTTTCAAAGAGAAAGTCACCCCTAAGTCACATGGCTAGTAAGGGGAAAAAATAGAATTTGAATCCAGTCAGACTCCAGAGCTGATGTTCTATAATGATGTTTTATCATTGGTAATTCTGGTTCCTAATATTTACTGCATTTGAAGGTTAAAAAAAAAAAGTAAGCTTCAGAGAAAAACTATGTTTATTATTCTGTTATATTTTGTTATAAAATTTTGGGGTTTTTCATAAAATAAAGATATTTTTGGTATTATTCAAACTACTAAATTCTTTTAAAGATAAATGCAAGACAAGCTGCTAATATTAATTTATTCACTGAAGAAAAATTTATTGAGAGTCTACTATGTGCTTACTATGTGCCATCACTGTCCTCAGCAGTGATGAAAAAATGTCTCTGCTCTCTCAGAGCTTAATGTAGTTGGAGGGGAAGGTGGTGCAACAGAGATTATTAATAACTAGACAAATATAAATGGATGGCATTAAGAGGTACAAAAAAAAATAAAGCAGGTTAGGAAGGTAAAGTGTAAGGCAGAAGAATTATTTTAGCAAGTGAAGCCAAGGCCTTTCAAACTGGGTGACATTTTAAGAAGGTAAAGAAGCAAGCTAGGTAGGGAAGTGAATGAAGGAAGACCACCCAGGCACCCACAACAAGGGCCTAGAGATAGAAAGATGGGGGAGAGGCCAGCAAGGCAGGAGCAAGGTACACAGGAAGGAAACCGCAGGTTGCAGGTGATGGCTGTGGAAAGGCTGCAGGCACCAGATCACACAGAGCTCTAAAAGGGTAGAGAACAGAAGGAGCAGTTACAAAGCTATTATGAAAAACCAAACCTACACAGATCATGGGTTGTAACAGTCATCACAGCGGAAGTTGTAAGAATTGGTGACTTTTTGCATGTATCAGGAAGATAGAATGATAGGATAAAAAGATTTCAATATAAAGAACTAGCTAAACACAAAATTTCTTTGTCCTTGTAGAGTACCTAGCTTCTCAAAGAATGAAGCAGAAGTACAAGATGATTTACATTCCTGCATTGTATTTCTTGAAAAGGAGAATGATATTATAAAATAAGATTTCAATATGTAGAACTCAAATATTAAAAACAAAATTTCCGTATCATCATACAGAATCAAGCATCCTAAAGAGTGAAACAGATGCAAAAGGCAACTTACTTTACTAGTCAGTGTATTTATTTCTTGGTCAGCTTTATGCAGTTTATTGACTAAGGAAGTATTTTGTTCATTGCTTGATTGTAGCTCTTTTTCCAAGCGTTCAGCCTGCAACTTGGCTGACTGTTTTTCAGCCTTTTATTAAAACAAAATATTTTAAAATTTGTCCATAATTTTTCACAATATATCAAAATAAAATAAGCATTGAAACTCATGTGTAACCATATAAAAAATTATTCAAAACTCCAACAACATTAATATGTACCAAAGTAACAAGAGTTTCTCAAAGCAACTGGCAGACTTCAAATGAAAGATATCTGCTCCATGGGGGCAGGTGTAGCTCAGCGGTAGAGCACCTGTCTGGCATATATGAGACCCTGATTCAATCCCCAGGAACCAAACACAAAACAAAACCCAAATAGATCTGTGTTTCAGGAAACATGCAACAAAGGTATCTGGGCAAACAATACATCAACAGCCACTATCAAAATAAACCTCACACACTTCTTTCATAAGAGAGAGTACTTGTGCCACTCCTTTGATAGCTATTTACTCCGAATGCTGACATGATTCAATTTCACATGGGGGGCAGGGGGAGGTCCCCGTCCACAGCAATTATGAAAAAGCTCATTAGAAGACAACAGAAGGCTCACAGACAGATATGAGAAGTGAAAATTGAAATTTCAAAATCAATGGAGATTTGTCTTAAAGGAGAGGTAGAGATAAGAATTCAATATTCTCAGCCAATGTGGAACCTTCTGAAGTATGGGTGAAGAAGCTCTTGATCTCATCACATAATTAAGATTGGGGGGGGGTACCAGGGATTGAACTCAGGACTTTGCACTTGCAAGGCAGGTGCAGTGCCACTGAGGTAAATCCCCAGCTCATAATTAAGATTCTTAATAAATTCTGTAAGTTGTCAAAAATTTTCTTGTCAGTCATACTCAAAACACTCTGCCATTACAGAGAGAAAATAAAAGCTTTTTAAAAATACTTCTATTCAAAATAAAAACATTTTAGCATTTAAAAGATAAGCTAGTTTTTTAATATCTCATTTCCTACGTGTGCTAAATATAGTAAGAATTGTATTCAACAAATAATTCAGGAGGAAAAAGCTATTTTCTTCACATATAAAATTATGTTCTCTGGGCATAATGATAGCCAAAAAGTTGAAGAAAGAAATATTTGCTGTCATGTACTATTTTCATCTGACAAATGATAAAATTAAATACAGGCTCTTCTGAATATGCCACAAATGAACCATCTATCTTTTGTTATATTCAACTTGCCCTGAAAATAACCACTCCAGATGAACTCAATGAAAAGTTTCACAGTGAGACAACATACTGTATTCAACTGCAATCACCTCACTTACTCTGTCACTATGTAAATACATTAAGGACACAAGAATGGCAGCATAAAGTCTCACTCTGAACTGTCTCATGTGTAAGATGCAATGATATTCACAACTTTCATTCAGAAAACCAGCAAATACTGACAGAAGCTTCATGTAAAAAAGTTAAAAAAGTGACTTCTCTTCAAAATACATCAATGTACTCTTTGTACCAGCTTGCTGGTTGGAAAAAAAAAAATCACCATTTTGGATTTGGGTACTGGATTTTAATTACAAACTAGAGATAGTACCAAATCATTTCCTTCTAACTCAAGCCACTATTTCATCACTATTCCAGAAAAGGAAAACAAAACTTTAAATTTTACAAAATAAATCAAAACAATAAATTGGTCTATTTGCTGTTAGGCACATAATATAGGAGAAGTAACTGTGTCTGAGTAAGATGAAAATCAATAGTTTCCATAAGGCAATACTTCCAGAAGAACTTGGCTAACAATTAACTTTCTCTAATCAACTCAGGGAAATAATTCCATAAAAGTTTACTGTATGCAGTAGTAGTCAAGTTTAATTTTATTATTTTGGCAAGAAGCTATCATAAGGTATGTTAAATATGGTATTTCTGTTCAAATGGGACTTATGATTTTAAAGTTTCAAATATTGGGCCGGGGATTTAGGTCAGTGGTTTCACCACCTGCTGCACAAGTTCAAGGACCTGAGTTCGATCCCTGGTACCACAAAAAAAAAAAAAAAAAGTTTCAAATACCAGAAACAAAGTCTTGGTAAATAGGGAGCGGTGGAGGGGGTGAAGGGAGGGCAGGGGAATGGGGAAAAAAGAAGAACCAAGATAGATCATGTAAAGGTACAAAACCCAATTGGGGAAAAAAAAAAAAGTTTCAAATACCAGTGTAAGAAGTTTACAATCTTGAAAGAAATTTTCTTTTCTTTTTTTAGGGGGAGGGGGGCTTGATATGACTATGACTTCAGTCTTCAGAGATTCCAATATATTTGGGGGGATTTTACATATTCTATTTGGTGGCATTATAAGAGTTAAGCCATTTCAAGCAGGTGCTTGACTCTCAAAAGAATAAATATTCCCCTTATAAACATGGTACCATAGCTATTGCTTACGAATCAATAGCTTTCTTCTTTACAGAAAGAATACCTACTCCTGGGATTCTACAAATGCGTCAGCAGTAGACTGCTAAGCACACATTTATGCTCTAAAAATCAAAGCCTTGTCAATTGTGCTTTTAAAAACTATGCCCTACTCTTCTGGGAAGCAATTAAAACCTTACCTCCAGGGATCTGACTGTAGCCTGCATCTCAGCCAACTGCCGCACTTGTATTCTTTGGACATTTTCTACCTGAGCACCAGAATTCTCGTTTTCAGCCCTTAATTCTACTATTTCAGTCTCTAAGCCTTTTAATTTCTGACTCAAATGGGCTTTTTCTCGAAGAAGTTGCTCCACTCGTTTGCTGTCTCTTGTGAGATCAACACTAAGCAGCTGATTATGTAGTTCTTCTTTATCTTTCTCCAGTCTTGCAACCTAATAATTTGAAAGAAAGCACACAGCTTTAAATTATTGAATTTTCAGTCATGAACATATTTTATAAAACAGTAAATTAAAATTAAAAATGAGACAATACAAAAGCTCAGGTGGTGAAATGAAATAAAAAGGAAAAAAATGTAAAAGTCACATTCTTTATTCTCTACTCAGCATGACTCAAATTTGAGGGCAAGAACTTTACCCTATATCCCCCCACCTCTGTGGAGTCTAGCATAGGACTTAATTAGTTGCTGACTAAAATTCAAAATTATAAATAATACTACAAAAACAATTATTAAACATACATCAAATATTTTAAAATTCATCAGAATATGACAGGAATTCATGTGAGACCAATCACTGACTACGCCTAAGCTTTTCCATACATGAAAGTAATTATTGGGGTGTTTATGTATCTATTTCAAGGCAACCAATTCATATAAAAGCTGCTTTCTGTGTGAATACATACAAATGTGATCAATGAAAAGTTTTTAAATGATAGCTGAGAGTTTATTAAGACCTTAGTTGTAATGGTGGCAGATTTCTTAGAATCATTACTCCAGGGTATATGTTAAAGTCACTGGGGAACTTGCAGAGCAGATACCAATACCATTCATCCTATCACTGCCAGACCCCATGGGCTTCTAAATCAGTGGGTTTCAAATGGTTTCCTAAAATCAGAGGCTCTTCAGAGGTTCCTTGTCTCTCGGGAGTGGGGAAGTGGGCAAAGCAATCAGGATAGAACTCATTCTTTCCATTTTGTGATTTCCCCAACTATCTTTATCCTACCGCCACTACCTCTACCACATCTCCCTGTTACCTTCCATTGGCTCCTTGTTTTGTTTTGTTCTGTTTTGCTGGCACTGCTGGGGATCAAGTCCAGGGCTTTATAAATGCTAGGCCAGTGCTCTACCACTGAGTTACACTCCCAGCCTGCATCAGCTCCTCTTTTAGTTTCTTTTTATGTATTGGGTCACCTCGTTTGACTCAAGTAGAGGATTCAGCAGTTTAAAAAAAATTAATAATTGGAAAGCATTGCTCTAATCAAGACCAGGGGCTACTGCAAGCCAGAACTCTGAAGGCTCAAAGTCAGACAGATCTTAACGGAATGCTCTGGAACCAAAGTGACCCAAGATTGCTCACAGAGCCACCAAGAGTCTAAAAAGTGTGAGACCTCTACCCCAGAGCAGTATCTGTTTTCCTAACCTGCAAAAAGGGAGACTGAATTGGATGCATTCTGAGATCGGTTTCACTACATAGCGACTCCAAGTTTGATTTTGGACACATTAAATTAAAGATGTCAACAAGGATAGGCAGAGCTATCTAGCAGGCAAATACATTTTTCCAGAAAATAAAATTTATCCTTGAAGATATCTATGGCATTTGGAGGTAAACCCTCAAAAAGCCCAGCTAATGGCTAGGGTTGCTGCTTAGTGGTAGAGTGTTTACAGCATGTGTGGGGCCCTGGGCCTGATCCCCAGCACTATAAGGTAAGGGGAAAGCCAACCAATTAATGTTGTCTAGCTCCTATTTTTCTTCCTATGCTTTTCAGGTAACCAGTACTCTTGGGTTTGGTCTCTGGCTACCTTTTATCCTCTTTTTCTTCAACTAGCTGTGTGACTCTGCACAAGTCATATTTTCACCCTGCCTAACTTTCAGTGCACAGGTTACGCTGCCTGATTCAGCTTTTGTATAAGGAAACTCAAACACAGTTTTTTATCTTTGATTTGGGTTTTGACAGTGCTGGGCTTGAACCCAGGGCCTTGTGCATGCTAGGCTAGCATACTATCACTGAGCTACATACCCAAGCCCCCACAATGAAGTTTTATTAGAGGTGTGGCAGCTCAGCTATGTCAGGAGTCAATGCGTAATGAAACTAAGGTTCAGAAATGACCTCAACTGAGTACTTATTATGGATCAAGTGCTAAGCTGAGCACTCTACATCAATAGTAACACTAATTTCTCTTGTAGTCTCCATTTTACAGACAGGGTCACACAGCTAGTTTTTGACCAGAATGCTGCCTGTGTTTCTGCTTTCTCCACAAGTTCTGCAGGGCATCTGGGTGATAGCTGAAATGACAGCTGAAGCTGTAAGACTGGATGACGGCTAGCTAATGGTAGTCAGGGTGAGTTTCCACATTTATGATTCTTAAACCAGAACTCACATCAAATCATTTCAACCAAAACTGATGATCACTGTTTTCTAATTTTGTATTCATTTACTTAGTCACACAATAGGTATTTACTGAGTACTTAGAAGTAGCTCACACTGTTTTAGGTAATAAGGATACAACCCAGCAGGCAAGCAAACACAAAACCTCCGCAGTGAGGAGCCTATTACTCTCAGTCACTGCCATGACTCTGCTTTTGTCTCATTCATCTGGGCCCAGGTCTTGGAAGCTCTCAGCTCTTTGCTTTTCCTCCACTCTTAATCAGATTCACATGTCATTTTCTTTGATGTTCTCCATTTGTTGTGCTCTCAGTCCTTCCTCTAAATTTCCAAAGGTCTTTCTCTGAATTTCTCTTCTATGACATTTATCCAAATCTGCCTGCATTGCAGTTATCTCCACATTTACTTTATTCTCTTTTAGAATAAAAACTTGCTTGACAGGTAAAACAATATATTAACCAATTTTATTTCCCAAAGGTGAAGTAGAGGAAATGGACAGAAACGGATCAGGGACTAAAAAGAGTGGTTGATTTTCTTTTCAAAGGATGACAGCACCACCCACATTCCCAAAGCATAGTTCCTCCACCTATCTTTGTTTTTATCTCCCTTATGATGCAGCACAGAGAATGGGTGAGCAAACAGTCTCTAGAATCCAACTTTCCTTTTTCTTTCAGTATTTTAAAGATACTGCTGTACTTCTAGCTGGTATTATTTCCAAAAAGAAGTATGCTATCATCCTCTTTGTTCTTCTATACAAAATGTCCTTGTCTCTCTGTGGTTACTTTTCTTTAAATTAAACCTTTTCTTTTCATATGATAAATCCATATGCAAGGACCCTGTGCACCTTTGACCCAGGTTCCCACAAAGGTAATATCTCTCTTCTATTTTCTATAAGACACTGTGTTAGTCACTTTTCTCTCATTGCTGAGACAAAATACTCGACACCCAGAGTTAAAGGGAAAAGGGTTTATTTAGCTCACGGTTTGTAGAGGTTTCAGCCAGTCCTTGGCTGGCTCCAAGGCCGAGCGGCACATGGCAGAGGGTCGTCACAGAGGAGAAACAGTTCTTGGTGCCCATAAGGTAGCAAAAGCAACAAGGGAACCTTAATAGAATCTCTCTGCCTCTTCTATCTTATCCAGACTACCGGGATTAGGGCAGTACCAAACCAATCAGCAAACTGGTTTAGTAATCACACGCCCATAATTCCAGCATCACACACTCTAGATTCAGTCACCTCTGAAAAAGCCACCTATGACCGCATGAGGCTTTGGGGGGACATCTAGACCCAAACCATAACAGAGGCTGAGTACAATTGGCCTTAATTTTTCTTTAAAGAATTTAGTAGAATTCTCTAGTGAAATTATTCTTTCTTGGACTTTTTAAATTTTAAATTCAAGGGCCAGAGATTTAGCTCAGTTGTTCTGCTACCTGCCTTGCAAGAGGAAGGTCCCGAGTTCGATCCCCAGAACCAAAAAAAAATTTTTTTAATTCAAAGGGTGGGAAGTATATAGCTCGTTGGCACGGTACATGTTTGGCACATGCAAGGCCCTGGGTTCAGTCCCCACCATCAAAAATAAATTACAGATCAAATGTCCCTAATAGGTATAGGCCTCGTTCATTGTAGGTGAGTTGTGACGGTGTGTGCCTTTTGAAGAATTGATCCATTTCATCTACATTGTCAAATTTATGTAAGTAGAACTGGTCACAGGATTATCTTATCATCCTTTTAATGTATGCTAGGTCATGAGTGATACTCCCTGTTTCGTATAATTTATGTCTTTTTTTTTTTTTGGTCAATTTTCCTTTATTTTTTATTTTATTAGTACATGTTTGCAGTTCATGCAGTTCGCAATCATCTTGAGGTATGTACACTCCATGTACATACCACAGCTTGTTTCTTTTTTTATCCCTGTCCCCTTCCCTCTCCCTTCCTCCCCTCTCCTCCAATTCTCCTATCCCATTTTTCAGTCTTGTTGATATTATTAATCTTAGCTCATATATTATATGCTCATATGACATACAATGTTTACAGCAGTTGAGGTTATCAGGCTCCTATACATGACGTATCTTTACTCTGCTCATCTACCCTTCCCCACCTCCTTACCTCTTATGCCTTCTCCCTTGGATCATCTCCCTGTTGCAAGAGAGCCATCTCCTTGTCCCCTTCTACCTATCCCCCACCTTTTCTCTCAGTTTTCATAGAGGTCTGTCGGTTTTATTAATTTTTTCCAAGACCCAGCGCATTTCATTGACTTTCACAATTGTTTTTAGTTTCAATTTTATTACTATTTCTTTTCTGCTTGCTTTGACTTTGATCATCTTCTTCTAGGTTCCTGAGTTTGGAGCTTAGACTACTGACTTGATATTTTCCCTTTCTGATGCATTCATCTTAATGCTATAAATTTTCCTCTCAGCACATTGCTTTAGCTATCTCCTGAGAATTTTTAGATGCTGCACTTTCATTTTCATTCGGTCAATATATTTTTTTAAGATTTAATGAGTGCCTATAGTGTACATGGACCTTTACCAGACACTGAAATTTAGGCACAAGCCAGACACATGATCCCTGGCCTGGGGTACTGTATAATCTAATTAGTTTAACACAGATTAAAAACAGTAGACAGACAAATTACATGTTAATGCTTGGTTACTACAGTCAACATTGAAGAGCTGTAATTTAAGTAATCAAAATGGTATCTAATTCTAAAATCATTTATAAAATGTATTTGGCCTTGGAATCCACAGAACTTCAAACAAGCTAAGTTGCACTGCAGATAGTAAACAGTCACAAAGACACACACACCAAAACACTTTACAGCACTATGAATGA